TTTACTTGCACACTGGATCTGACAACACATCCATCGGGTTCAGGAGGTATCTTTACCAGAGGGAGAGAGAGAGGGGGGGGGAGCAACGAGTACAGAAAGTGTTGCTGGCCAGTGTTTCCTGTGGGACCGCGTGGAGTCCCACCTCCACACCGAAGATATTAATCTGTATTCTGTGGAGGCAGAGGATGTCGTATCTTATCGGGCCTGAAGTCTGAGAATTTGGCTGTCATAAGAAAGATAATTTGAGAATTTGCTCTCATGAGATTGTCATATATTCATTGTAGCTTTTCGCCTTTTTGTACTGAGAAAAGTATATTTTTTGCTTGGCCATTTTAGAAACTGACTGCCAAACAAAAATCCCTCCAATGCACATTTTGAAATTTTAAGCAGTAACTTGTAGTAAGATTTTATTTGGATTATTAAGTTGTTTTGATTTCTTTCCGAACAGTTTGAGCAGTACAGTGAATGTGGCAGCACTTAGCTGATCAAGGCTCTTAAACCATAAACGAATAACACACTAATATACAAACATATATTAAAATCACTTTCCGCAGAATAACATAAGTTATGTACAGCAATTCTTAGGAATGAAATTGACCAAGTCAGTTGCATGTTTTCTTTCTCCGACGCATCATATATATTCAAGAAAAACTCTTCTGGGATGTTGCGCCGTGTACTATGGTAGAACTTAACTGAAGTTTACCGGTGCGCGCGGCTTGCTCATGATGGAGGCAGTAAGCACCTCTGAAACGTCGGTAAACTACTACCATACTGCACGGCGCAGCATCCCAGAAGACAGTCATCTTCATATTGGCCGCCGTGAGAAACTGAAATCCCATTTGGTATGTTCAGTCATTGAAAATTGGCTGTTGGTTCTTGATTTTTCCGTCCACCTCGCGAAACTCCGCAGAATTTGCGTGCGATCCCTAGTTGGACCGTATACTAGTATCACGCTGTCGCTAGCTAACCCAGATTCTAGTCTGTGAGGACTTCGATTCCTCTCAACGTGGGTTCGCTTCTTACCATTGCGGCTGGTCCATGGCGCCCGACCGTGGTTGGAGTCTCGAAGGAGAAGGCTTGTTTGAACAGCTCGAGTCGCGGGACATCCTTGACGGTGATGGCGAGGATCCAGGAGAAGGCAGAGTTCTGCACGATGACGTGGGCGCAGCGAGAGATGACGGCAGTGAGAGGACCGCGGACGGCCCGGAAGGCGTGCGTCTCCACGACGGCGCTGCCGCAGTCGACGACCTCGAGCAGCGTGTGCGGGGCCGAGAGGTTGAGGAATGCGTGGCGCCGCACCACCAGACGCTCCACGTCGCTGAGACGCACCCGCTGCAACGCCCACACCTGCGAGAATGTGCCGGCCAACAGGCGTAGCTCTCCGCGACACCGCGTGACATTCAGCTCCAGCATCTCCGGCGGAATGGAGCCAGCGTCCAGTTCCACTGTCTGCGTCACACAGTACACGTTCTTACATTTCAACTGAAACCAACTCTTAGTCCTTCTGCAGAGAAGCTGATGCCCAACTAGTCAAGAAATGACCCGAGGCTTTAAAACCGTGTTCACAACAGCCCGACACTGGACACTGGCCTGAGACAGTTAAATCCAGTTCATACTCTGGCATTATAGTTTTAAGCCATTTTGATAATACCGCCTCATTTATACTTCTCTCATGTGGTCATTTCTGATTTTTCGACTAAAATTTGGGTGCTATAGGCCCCGCATCTCACATTACTTGATTTGATCACCCTAATAGGCCTAATGTTTGGTAAAGATTACAATATTCTGAATTTTGAAGTCAGAATCATTTCAAGAACATCTAATGCGGTCACGGATATACGTTCAGACAGACGAAGTACGTTTGGAAGAAACGCGGGGGGGGGGGGGGGGGCGAAGG